CTCAACTTTCCTTTATTTTCCCTGATTTTCCCCAATTTTCCTCAACTTTTCTCTAATTTCCTTGATTTTCCTCTATTTCCCTTGATTTTCCAATTTTCCTCAATTTTTCCTCAACTTTCCTTTATTTTCCGATTTTCCTTGATTTTCCTCAACTTTCCTTTATTTTCCGTGGTCTTCCCTGGTTTTCCTCAATTTTCCTCAACTTTTATTTTCCCTGGTTTTCCTCGATTTTCCTGTATTTTCCTCAATTTTCCCTGATTTTCCTCAATTTTCCTCAACTTTCCTTTATTTTCCTCAATTTTCCTCAACTTTCCTTGATTTTCCTCGATTTTCCTCAACTTTCCTTGATTTTCCTCAATCTTCCTCAACTTTCCTTGATTTTCCTCAATTTTCCTCAACTTTCCTTTATTTTCCTCAATTTTCCTCAACTTTCCTTGATTTTCCTCGATTTTCCTCAACTTTCCTTGATTTTCCTCAATCTTCCTCAACTTTCCTTGATTTTCCTCAATTTTCCTCAACTTTCCTTTATTTCCCCTGATTTTCCTCCATTTTCCCTGATTTTCATTGATTTTCCTCAACTTTCCTCTATTTTCCTTGATTTTCCCTGATTCTCCCTGATTTTCCTCAACTTTCCTCTAATTTCCTTGATTTTCCTCGATTTCCCTTGATTTTCCAATTTTCCTCAATTTTCCTCAACTTTCCTCGATTTTCCTTCATTTTCCTCGATTTTCCCTGATTTTCCTCAACTTTCCTTGATTTTCCTCTATTTTCCTTGATTTTCCTCAACTTTCCTTTATTTTCCCTGGTTTTCCCTGGTTTTCTTCAATTTTCCTCAACTTTTCTTTATTTTCCTCAATTTTCCTCCACTTTTCTTAATTTTCTTATTTTCCTCAATTCTCCTCAAATTTCCTTCATTTTCCTCCATTTTCCTTTATTTTCCCTGATTTTCCTCAATTTTCCTCATCTTTCCTCTATTTTCCTCCATTTTCCTCGATTTTCCCTAATTTTCCTCTATTTCCCCTGATTTTCCTCAACGTTCCTCCATTTTCCCGGATTTTCCCTGCCCATTGCCACACAAAACCCAGACCTGACCTTTCTCTTTCAGTCACCACCACCACATCCGCCTTCCCCCAAGGCCGCCTTTTAAAAACCACGTCCTTTAGTCACATTTTTCCTTCCACCACAGGATATTTCTGTTTGCGAAACGCCAGCGCGAATCCCTCGTCTGGATTTCAACTCATTACTATTATGCTTTCATTAAAGAGGTATTTTATAATCATGGAGATTTCCCAAGCAGTTCCCTTTGAGTTTCATCACCCCAACCTTTTTCTCCATGGGAATCTATCCTAATACCTGTTGTAATGAGCAGAACGATACCAAGGTTTTCCTCCAGGTCTACGCCGCCTCCAGATAACAACTTCCTCTTTATTCACACGTACCAAACGGATCCTATTTCCACCAGTAAAACCAGCAAGTGACCTTTCTAGGCTTTCAAATGCTAATTAAATCCTGTCCCAGGGACTAAATCCTGCCAGAACGCGGCGACTACACACCACGGCGCATTAAAAACTAAAGCTGGGCTAATCCCAACCTCAGCGAGTAATCCCGCCTGACAAGCGGCTGCGTCTTGAATGGGCAATTTAATTACTCGGCCAAAAAAGCAGCCCATTTGGGGACAAAACCTGCCAACCTCCTGTGGTCGGTGTCCACTGGTGGACCCTTCACCACACCGCGAAGAAACCCCAACCAGATGGAGGAGAAAACATCTCTGGGCATCACCTGGGCAGACGGAGATGTTTTGTCCACATGAGAACCGGATCCTCGGTTTCCGGAGCAGCGTTTGCTCAAATATATCCAGTTTTGGATATATCCTGGTTTGATTTCACTGTTGGTTTTGGGGTCATAGAATCATAGACTCATAGAGTACCAGGTTGGAAAGGACCACAAGGATCATTCGGTCCAACCTCTAGAGGTAAACGATCTAATTTATAGATTATTCCAGTATCTCATTGACAGATTATCCCAGTATCTCATGGATTATCCCAATATCTCACCGATAGATTATCCCAATATCTCATTGATAGAT